AAAAAAAAAAAAAAAAAAATCAGTTTTTTTTTTTATATTTACAAATTTCCAACCTAAAAATGGACAAATGTACTTTGATTATATTTCTTAGTTAAAGACAAAATGTTGACATTGTTTTGTCGCATCAGTGAGACTCGTTTAAAACAATAACCTCTAGAGACAAACCTGCAATATGTTTTTATATGTTGTATTTTTTAGGAATCAGAACGTTATACTTCAGTGAAATCTGGATATTGGTGCTGGCTGATTGTTGCATCTCTAATATTTTAAGTTCTTATTTTATAGACTTTATCTGTAAGGTGTACCCTTTTTCTTGCCCAATGACTGCTGGAGATAATCTCTACTTCCACTTAGAGCCTTTAAAGATAAAGGCTCACTGTTTTAAATTTGGCAAATTTTGTTTCTGCATATTTTATTAACAATAAATCTCTATATTTCGGACACATTTTATATAATTACTTGTTACTTTTGTCAGTTCTTACTCTTGACATCCTCAGACACTTTATAGTGGAGTAAAGAGTAATGGTAGAAGCCTGAATTTAGATTCTTCAAGTCGCTCGTTCAGGCAAACTGTGACATAAAGGTCACTTGACTTAGTGATGACATCTAGCCCCTATCAAAACAAACAAACGAATCTTTACAAAGGTCGACATTAGTTTTAGATTTTTTTTTTATATACACTTTCTTTGCCAATATGATTTTGTTAATCTGTACCTGACATGACAAATAGGGGCCAAAACTGTCATACTGCTCCAAGAGAGATGGAGGTGCTGGCTAGCGAAAGCGGAAAACAGCAGATTGTAGCACATCAGCATTCTCCTAAAGAAACAGGCACCTGATTGCTGCGCTATGGGCTGCTGGTTTACAGCTGTCTCCAGACAGAATCGACTACCTGTTCCTGCATGCCAATAAGACAGCCGTAGCCTCCGCAACTGTTAACCACTGGCTCTCTGCCTGCTACCGCCTCCTGCGAGTGAGCCCACTTCTTTTCTGTACCATGTCTGTGCCAGGGGATGGGCTTTTTGCATTTTTGCAATTTTACAAAAGGTGGCACCTTTTTCCCCAGCCCCGTCTGAAACAGATGTGTGCCTGTGAGGGGAGAGTGTTCCAGCACCTGGCTCCTACCCATGGTCTGTCATAGTGCTCAGTGGTCTGAGAAGAACAAAAAGATAACATGAGGACATTGGGAAAATAGTCTTGAGAAACAGCCACTTTGAGTTTTTAGAAGAAGTAAAGTCTTCCAGTTATGTCTACAGATTTACCTGGCTACTTTAAATCAGGCAGATTCTTTACATTTATTGCCATAGTGTTATCTTGCATACTATTAGTTGTAGTATGTTAGCTAGTCCTTGCATATTAGCAAATGTTAGAATATTGAGAAGGATATTTTGTATGAAAATGGTTCTGCTGACCCTGCCCTTTGCTTTCATGCCCCAATACCCAGCCCTAACTATGTTTAACCTAGTTATGGCCTGTAATCCCACTGTATAAAAGCGTCTTCAAGAGCTAGTGGTGTTGGGCCTTAAACTTGGACTTTCAAAATGAAGTTTACAAACACTTTCAAAATAAAAACTTCTGTGTTTAATAGGTTACAATAATCAAAATAAAACTTTGGTGTTCTCTTTAAAAAAAAAAAAAGCCCTCCATTGTTTATGCATTAACTTATTTGAACAATACTAATTAAAGAAACATTCTGTGTAGGTGAAACCTGAGGCTGCAGAGAGGCTTGCAGTTACCAAAGCAAAAGGAAAATGTGTTCAATATCTTCCTGAAGTTGAACTGGAACCAGGTTAAATGTCATCTCACCACCACCTCATATCTGTCACTCTCCTGGCATAAGGCTTCTGTTTCCTCAACCTTTCTTGTTCTTTCTTTCTCTTTGTAAATAACTACCTCCAAACTATCTGCTAAAATTTGTGTCCAACTATATTTTCAGTGCATGACTTCAAGCACAACGTTTTAAGTAGTTATTTTGTTGCTTTTCAATTATGTCTGCAGTGATTAAACCAAGCTTGCTTCGAATGTCGGCTCAGCACAACATTATGTCTCTTCAGCCCAGGCTGGAATTACACTTTTCAAAAAAAGGTTAGACAGTAGCTTATTATGACAATACTGAAGGTCTGTTTGTCTGTCTGTACAAAATATAAGCATAGCCAAAACACATATTTGTTCCAATTAATTTACAGTTTCTCTTTTGCTTTAGTTTCTCACATCACTATTAACAGACTATTGAAATAATTAGCACAAACTGCAAAACCTTGTTGATAACCCCGCAAAAGCATATGACTGGTACAAATTGGATACTTCATTCCTCAAAAGTGAGTATTCATGTCAATTTCAGTGTCAGTGTGCAAAAGCAAAGTGTAAAACAAGTTTAAGAAACACCCTTTGGGTAAAGCAGTGCACATCTGTAAGCAATGTAATCAGTGAAAGCTGAGATTCACCTGAAATCATTTTCAGGAATGAATGATAAAGAAATACATCAATTTTGCTCAATGACTCATGCAATGATATGAGAAATTTTAGTCAGAAAGGGAATAACTATTCACTCTTCATACATATAGTTTAAATAAGCAGATTATAAATCTATAACAGAGCAGACAATGCTCTTGATACATGTCCAAAAAGATGTGCAGTTTGTTGGAAGGAATGAGAAACTGCTTTAGGATTAGCAGAAAGGGACACCTATGAGAATTTTAATTCTGAGAAATGCACCAAAGCAGTTAAATAGGACTGTAAATACCATGCCTACTCCATCAATTGACAGTATTGACTGGATACTAACATTCACTCAATCAACTTAAAAAAACAAACAAAAAAAAACTGTCCTTGTTTTGTGTGTGTGTGTGTGTTTGGATATGACAGAATTAGATTTCAAGCCACATAAGGAGTCAAAATGTCAGATGCATTCAGAATCCAGGGTTGGCACAAAGGTTGGTGAATCCGAACATCTCTTGACTAGTTTACCAAGTTTACCGACTCAGATCACAGCTTCTGACAGCATGGGCCAAATGGAAACCAAAGTGACCAAGGTTTGAACTCTTTCATTTTTTTTACTATTTTAGATCAAAACATTGCAACGAGTTGTGTAATAATATGAAAATAAAACACATCAGGTATTTATTAATATTCTGGTGATGCACCTAAAGTGCATTTGAAGAGGTGTTCATACCCAAATTAACTTTTTCAAATTTTTTAAAAGTGCAACCACAAACAATGCATTTTATGAGTATTTTATGCGAGACCACCCCACAAAGTAGTGGAAGAAAAAGTTAGGATTTAACATTGTTTTTACAAATTAAGAGCACTTAGTCAATAAGATATACAACCATTATAAATCAGTTTTGCTCATAGTGACTCAATTTTACCTATTCGTCTTATACAATAGCTCAAAACTACTTGATCTGTCATGTAAAAATCTAACAAAAAGCACTAAAATTTGTGATTCTAATGTGATAAAATCTGAGAAAGTGAACTGATTTTTGAATACATTCGAAGACACTGTACTTTGTATCTTTTTGCTCTGCAGGACCAGTCTGTAGATGCTTATACAAGCACCAACATGTTCCCTTTTACAGTCGTAAAGGGACAAATCGATCCGATGGCGAAAGATTTCATTTGCTTCAAGGAGAAATTTAGTTGGTGCTGGAGCAACGTGGTGGAAGTTCTGGATGACCTGACTAAACTGCTCCGAGAGTTTGCAGTGCCTTTGGCTAAAGTTGATGGAGAATACTTGATAGAGTTACTCCGTGAATCTGATTATTGTTGGAGAAAGACTCTTCCAAAGGCCACTCTCTTCTCACTGCTTGAAAATAAGGGGGAGGTATTAGAACTGGTCTCACGCCCAGGTCAACGCTACAGAGGAGAAGGAGGCAGAGATCTCGCTGCCACCCGTATACAGACCTGCTGGAGGCGCTACTTGACTAGGACTTCTTACCTGTGCTACCACCGCCGCAAGATGGCAGCGGAACTTATCTCGTTGTCATATCTGTTTCACTATCAAAAGTGCCAAGTGAAGAAAACCCTTCAGGCCAAACGTTTCAGGCAGCTGATAAATTATCGCCGCAGAGCAGAGGTGATGTACCATCAATACTTACGTTTCTTTTTACTAACTTATATTTTAACTTTTTATTTTAACTGTGTCTTGAATTTTTTGTATATATATATATATATATATATATATATATATATATATATATATATATATATATATATATATATATATATATATCCATCCATCCATCCATTTTCTGAACACCCTTGTCCCTCAGTGGGGTCGGGAGGGGTGCTGGTGCCTATCTCCAGCTAACGTTCCGGGCGAGAGGCGGGGGACTATATATATATATATATATATATATATATATATATTTTTTTTTTTTTTTTTTTTTTTTTTTTTTTTTTTTTTTT